TTTTTCTCGCTAAGCCCCTGTCGATTCCAATTAAAACTTTGATTTCTGGTCACTGATCTTCGCCCTCATTTATCCTGAATGCGTACGTCTTAACGACTAATTATTAAAACCCATAACAATCACCCTTATCTTACTATTCGATTGTGGTACTGTAACTTTATTAGGTCCTTAAATTTACATGTGAAACATTCTCCGCGCCGTGCACATTAAATGGTTTGGGACTTGAGTCAAAGTGACATTGCCTCAACCAAGTAATAACTAACCCCTCAACCCTTTCTAACGCCCATCACGAAGAGATCATGATTTTCCCATCCAATCATTTATATTTTAACCTATCATCATTATATGTTCTCTATTAATTCTTTTATTCCTATTTTTGTTTTACTTGTATGTTTAGTATTAGTTGTTTATGCTTTATTATCTCTTATGGATATACAGAAATCAACCCCATGTTATATACCAACTCATTTCAATTAATTTTTAAAAATTACTTCCTTAATAACAGTCTTCCTATTCCGCTCTCTTAAATCCCTCCATATGAACCCTCTCACATCCGGGGCCATCTGTGATGATTTAAGACCATGTAATTCTTGTAAATAGTCCAGATATCTACTACCACATGTTCCACCACGTGACTGTATATAACTTCTTATTTACTGCAAATAGAAAGCCTCAACTAACATCAATCTGTACCGCGTAAGAATCTAATAAAGTATAGCAACTGTACAGATAGAAGGAATGGAGCATAGCAGGAGAAAATTAAGGCTAAAACTAATCAGGCTTAGGTGAGAATAGAAGAAGGCCTAGCAAAACCCAGTCCAACTTTTACGAGGTCGTGGCCCTCCTGGATAATAAAACTTCCCCCCCCCCCTGTTTACGTCAGAAAAGGGCAGCGACCTGTTCGGACCCGCTCAGCTATAAAAAGGAGGTCCCGATCCTCAGTTAGTCAGTCCTTAGTTAGTCGTCGTTCCAGTTCCAGTGCAGCGGACGCTCCGATCAAAGGTAAACCCTTTCCTGCCAGAATTCTCCTCATCCCATTCCTTCTTGACGTCAGACGCTTCTTAGTGGAATCTCTGTTTGCTTATTTCACCTTTGGCCCAGCTGTGTCGCCTTCCACCACGACTGCACGGTAAAATTGACATCGAGGTTCGTCTAGCATCAGGTAACACTGGTCCCAGAGGTCCCAAGATATCACATATATATTTTTTAAAACTCTCTCTAAAGTTTTAAACTTAATTTTCTGAGAGAAATATATCTCCCTTTAATAGTAGATCATAACGATTGCACTGTGCATCACCTTGAGCCATTAAACAACAGTAATCTTTGTTATCAGATGGAAGTTCATCAAAGGAGTAATGTGTCCTAACCTTTCATATCCATTTATGAATTCGTATTAGGCAAGCTGAGTTCACTATATTTGCCAGATGTCATTCGAGAGAGACCTGCCGATGAATAAAATAATTCAGAAAGGTTTTGAAATTGTTCTGTAATTTTACTTCAGTTTCAAATAGAAGGGGCACCAAATCCAGTCCATAAGTAATGCATCAAATGTATTTTTGATAGAGTGCTTCGCAGAACAATATTTTGACAGTTCTTCTCCTGACAACACCTTTTCAATATCCCTGAAACGCTAAAATATCTCATAGGTGCTCTCAAGCAATGAAAAGAGGCTGTGAACTCCTGAGTCCGACCCATCGTATTCTCTCACCCAGCCTCTTTGATATTATCCAGCCCAACTCGGTCCTTTGAATGTAGATCTATTAGTTAGTCTCTTAGATTATCAGAACCTCTGACAATTACAAGGAGCCATAAGCATCAACTTTTATGATCATGTTCCGTTTGCCTCTTTTGTGGAAATGGGTATCATCTGCCAGTTCGATATCCTTGAACGCTCCTGATGAAAGAACAAAAATGTATTTGTGTGGCAACAATCCTGTCATCCTTTCAACACCATTCGCCTGCATTGGCCGCCTCCAGCTTGTATCCACCAAATAATCAATTTTAAAGTGGACCAATTCTATTACATCCTCAAACCTTCGAGCGATAATGCCGTATATCTGAAGTTTCAATTATTACATATGGAGTAGGATTGGGAACCTTGATCTAACTGAGATCAAACGGCATCTCTTTTTCTCTTTGGTGTCGATGCGGACCAAAGGTGTACACAGAGGAAATTTGTGTACCACTGTTCAGACATGCATCCCGGTAAAACCAGATTTTTCAAATGTTTCAACCTCGCCGTGTTTTCCTTCTTCCTCCTCGATAGGCAACAAAGTATTATGATTCTGTTTACAAATCCTACATTTAGTTTTTTATACATTGGTATCTCACATTCTCGACTTGTAAACATTGTAAGCATACCTTGTAACGCTCAAAATTTCTTATGGGTGATATCCAAGCAGGACAATGCTGTACCCAATGGGATTATTTGCAAAATTTCACCTTTAATTGCCAAGCTTATTGACTTCTTAAGTCTATTATAAAGAGATGGCATGTAATAATTCGTTGGTTTACATATCAAAATATTTTCCACCAGAAAAAAAATGATAAAAAGTTATTTTTGTCATGATACATAACCCTGAACGCTAAAATAATCTTACTACAATTAAAAATAATTGAAAATTTTTATGGCTTTCTAATTATTCTTTAATTTGTTTTAATGATGCTCATATAAATTATATCTTTAGAAAAAATTGTAAAGTATGTCAATGAATTTCAATTGTCTAATGCTTTTGAACTATTCCAAATATTTATTTTCGAAGAAAAATATTTTTTTTTTATTTCTTGTGTGTGTGTTATAATAATTATTTTTAAATATTTCAGAAAAAGCAATTTTGGCAACAAAGCTTTTCAATAGGGACTCATCCAATAGACCTTCGCTTTATGATTGGTCATTTTAATATCCGATGAAGAAGTGCAATTGGTGGTTTGCATTAGAGGTTGAAATATAAATTCTTTCTTTATCAAGATAATTTCTCAGTTTTCAAGTACAATTTTGAAACATTATTAGTTGAAAATTATCTTCATCTACATGGAAATATTAACACTATGGTAAATGATTTTTGTTTTTAAATAATTTTATACATCATTTGTATTTTTTTAAATGGTAAAGCTAATTATCAATGAAATTCATCTCCACTTGTGCGTAGACTATTCACTAAGTAAATATAAAAATTATTGAAAAACATTGGATTATGATTTGTCTGAGATTTGACGGTGAAGTTCGAGTGTATATGATTTTCCAGTACTTGCCACTAAATGAATATTATTTGGTTAACTACAATAACTTGCTCCACCAAATAGAAAAAAAAGGAACGGAAGGATATGAAGTTCTGCTGGCTGGTGACTTGAATGCATGAATGGGTGAAATGGGAACTCTTTCATAATACATTAAACCTTCCTTGGTTCTTAACTACTAGACGCATTTCTAAATACTATGTGATATCTTCATATTCAGAACAATCGATAGATTGATTGGATAACATTTCCATCAAAATTTGAACGCCAGATCAAGGGGAGATAGAAATGGCAACTACACATTTATATCAGCACGGGGATCCTTTGTGATGGACCACTGTATTGTCTCCTGTGGCCTGTAAAGTTACCTACATGACCTATATGTTGAAGAACCACCATACTCAAGTTGCTTACCTTTAACAATAAACATGAATACATGTTAGATGAAAAAACAAAATATGAACCTCCCTTCAATATCAAAGAAAAAAAATTACATATGAATATCTGAAAGAGCAACGCTATATGCAGAGATTTCAGGAAGAGCTTATGGATTCTTGAATAACTATATTGAGAATATAATTGATAACACAGTCAAGCAGATCTAAAATACAATGTTAAAAACTGGTAGTCAAATTGAGACAAAAACAGATAAACCAATTTCGAACCCTTGGTTTGATAATTGCTACATAGCGAAAAAGACCATGAAAGGAACTCTGGCGAAATATACTAAATCGAAGAACGATTAAAACGTTCAGAATATATAAAATAAAGAATATACGTCGATTATTAATATTAAGAAGGAATAATACGCTAACCTTTATATGGCGGTTTCGGTGGGCACTAGACATACGTCAGACCTGCAGGCTGTTGAGCTCTGTGCTAACTAGGGTATAGGAGCTCCAACTATGATTTCTTCCTGTGGTGAATCCGTTTAAAAACGATGGTCTCTATAAAGTGTTTGTATATGTATATATATATATAGATTTTATTAGAGGATTCGCCTGTAAATACATCTTCTCCCAGAATGGAAATAAAGAGTTATTAGTAATAAATAGTCATTTAATTAGTTCATGGTTTTGCCAAATATACGCCAGTCTGAACAAAGTTCCTGCCGTCGCCGCACCTGTCGCGACAAAAGGTACGCTATAAATCCACCACCAATGCGTTTAAATTTCTTTTCAGCTCCCTTGTTTTCTCTCCCTCGCTGTTTCTCGTGTCGGTGATATGATACCCATACTTTCTTTCTGTGATCTTTCTGCTGCCCACTTACCACCAGAACGGAGTAACTTCTGTTGTCTGAACTAGAAAATTAGTAAAAGGGAATCCACTATACCAGGTTGATTGATTCATAGGAAAGGTACTACACATCGGCTCTTATACATAAGAGATTCGTCGATCTACCAAGGCTCTCGTGACTACCACATGCATATATTTCAACTTTCATGAATATCATACTTTTGTGTAGATAGACAAACAAAAAACATGTATTGCCCTATTAGACCAGGCGGGCCATCGTCTGATTCCTGTTGTTTGCGTGCCCAATGAAGTGCCTCAGAAATCTATAAGTATCAATAACAGCTGTCGCAATGTTTACTGTCTTGAGTATGTAGAGCTGATGTTCTGGGTCCATATCAAGTTTCTGCAAGGTCTAGGTCCTGTTGGTATGATGAAGGGAAAAAGCCAATTCTCAGAGAAGGATGGCTTCTCCAAACCTCTTGAAGAAGAACAACACCTCCTCGAGGTCGGCCGGCCTATTATATATAGGAGAACCTTCTTAGGATTCTTGTTGGAGATCCTTACTCTATCTCCGTCCATTCTTTCCAATATGAATGGATACCAAGGATCCACGGATATGGTCTCCCCGCCTTTCAGAGGCCTGGGAAGGATGGTGGCGGCCGCTTCCCAGCTACCCCTGTGAGCTCATTATACTTCATCGCTTTGGGACTGGCTTGTTGTTCGCTTGGCCACAGAGTTGAAAAAAGAGGGTGAACACTCTGAAAAAGATAAATGACATCTTGCTTTGTCGAAACACTTTTCTACTTTAACCGCTCCAAACAGTTAACAATTATAGGTTGCCAAGCACTTGTTGGGACAACTTAAAGGAGAGAGATTGCAATTAACTAGAGTGTCCATATGACATTGAATATGGTTAAATAGAATATAAAAACACAAATAAATAAATTCAAATATAATTAAACATAAATATAAAATCATAACACTCTATCCTAATTACAAATAAAATTGAAGTGCTTTTTAGAAAAAAAAAATATTTTTTTTTTCAAACACTGTGTAATAAACTGTTCACGAGGAAATTGTAAAAATGTCCACCTCTCCTTAGAGCAGTTTTTAATATTGTGACGAAGAAATATTTTATTATTTAATTTAATATTATTCAATGAAAATATATTCAACAGATTAAAAATATATATATTAATCTGTATTTGTGAAATAATCTTTAAAATATTTCTTTGCTTGCTTGCTTAAGATTCTCTAGCGGTAAATAGTTTTGGGGCTGACCTGTTAATAATTGTCGACTCGTCGCTGTGACGTCATCAATAAATACTTTTACACCTTAGGATATTTAAAGGCTTGATTTCTACGTTACAACTGGTGGAGAGACTGGACCGATACCCATTAAGAAATTTAAGAAAAATTGATTCTGTTGAACCAGAAGAAACTTCTATGAATGTAAAGAAGGAAGGTACTCAGGTAAGCAACCACTTTGTTCAACATCTGCCAAGGAACCCTTCCATTTTCTCCGGGGAGGATGGTGAAGATCTCCAAAAATAGTTAAAAGGGTATGCACGTGTGGCAAGGTACAACCATTGGGAAGAAACCCTTTGTCTTACTAAAGTTTATTTTTATCTGTCTGGAACTGCTCTCAAATGGTTTGAGAACAACGAAGAGAGCATACAGACTTGGAAGGAATTCACATCTCAATTAGAGAATGTGTTCGGAAAAAAAGAAAATTCAAAATTGCAAGCGGAGAAGAAATTAAAAACACGGGCACAATTAAAAGGTGAAAGTACCGAATGTTACATCCAGGATCTTCTGTGCTTGTGCAAAGAGGTTGATCCTCAAATGAGCGAAGAAGATAAAATCTCCCACCTCATGAAGGGGATAGCTGAGGAGCTTTATCAAGCACTCCTACCGAGGGATGTACAGAGCACCGAGCAATTCATTATAGAATGTCGCCGTGTCGAAGCGCTCCGTTGTAGGCGAGTTACCCCAACCAGGTACGAGCGCCTACCAAATATAGCCTCTCTCTGTGACCAGGATGACGGAGAAGATCTGTCATCTATGATTAGGCAAATTGTTCGTGAGGAGGTACAGCGGGCATTAGGCTCTCCTCGGGAGAACCCAAAAATGCTACAATCGAAGAAATTGTAAAGGAGGAGATTGGAAGAACCCTGGCGCCAATCTCAAAGTCTAGGAGAAGTCCCCCTCATAAGAAAAGACCCCGACAGTTTTTAAATACTAGATATGAGGCCGAAACGATAAGAACGCACCCTGAACCTCGATACCCAAAACAAGGAGGAAGACGCGACACCAATGATTGGCGTACAACTGAGGGAAGGCCAATCTGTTTCTACTGCGGACGCCCAGGTCACGTCGTCCGCTATTGCCGTGACAGGAAGAGACACAATGAGGAATGGAGAAATGTTTATTTCCAAAGAAGGCAAGACGTAATGGTATCCTACAACTCTCGAGCTGAATCTCAGGACCCCAATGATGAATCATCGAGGAAAACTTTCACTCGCTACCGAAGCCCTACTTCATATCGCGGTCGAAACAGACAACATTTCTCACCTGCTAGAAGATCTAGCTGGACGCCCCGCCATTAAAACTAGATGATAGACCACATTGGAGGTGAGGCCGCAAAGTTATAAAATCCCCCCTTACCGACCACAGTAGAAATGAGAAAAAGCTACCTTGACGTAAACATAGACCTACCAAGTCCTCATGAAGAAGATATCTCAACTGAAAGAAGACATCCACCGGAGTCACCTGAAAATATTCCTGGCCATAGTACTAGTTCTTAAGACTGACGACGTAAGTTTCCTACTGAGCATCGGGTCGATGCTCTCTATAGGAGGAGGCTATGTGACGAAGAAATATTTTATTATTTAATTTAATATTATTCAATGAAAATATATTCAACAGATTAAAAATATATATATTAATCTGTATTTGTGAAATAATCTTCAAAATATTTCTTTGCTTGCTTGCTTAAGATTCTCTAGCGGTAAATAGTTTTGGGGCTGACGTGTTAATAATTGTCGACTCGTCGCTGTGACGTCATCAATAAATACTTTCACACCTTAGGATATTTCAAGGCTTGATTTCTACGCTACAATATTATTTATTTGAATTTTTTGAAGGCCGCGAATCCAATTTGATTGAAAAAAAGCCCGCCCAATTTTATATAAATAAAAATAATTAATCATTAAGATCTTGAATTATGTCCTTTTAACAAAAGTGATTTTTAAAAGTTTCAACACAAAGTAAGAAGTCGTTATTAAAAATGACTTAATGCATCAAACAGAGTAGAAACAAAAGACAAAAAAAAAACGTAAATGAAAAATCACGATAATTCATATTAAAACTAGTGCTCATCTCATACTCCAGCTTTGAAAGGAGCTGACCGGAGCGACAAAGTTATGTGAGGAGATTACCAGACATGGACCAAGTACAAATAGAACGTTTTAAGCCTTTCCACATTATCACACTCTTGGAGAATCAACTTGAATAATTTTTGTTGTATTTCAATTTGATTACACACACAGCGCTTAACGTTAATTATTCTTTAATTAACTACAACAAGGTGAAATGATTATATATATTGATGAAATGGTAATCATGGGGAAAGAAAATATAAGTCAGCGCGGCTACGCCGATGCAGGATACGAAAACAGATTGTGAAAGTACGTGTGTGATGTCAGCTCCGGTGTTGCCGATGCCAGCCGCCCGCCGTCACGGTCCAGCAATCACCTCCCTCGAAGTGATCTCTTATTCATGGATTTCTTCGCCGCTTAAAAGTCTCGAACGATGAAGTTCGTGTAGGTTTCTCCCCAGTGGCTTGGTCAAAATGTCCGCTAGGTTTCTTCCACTTGTAACATAGTCCAGTTGAATCACACCGTCATCCACCTTTTCTCTGACGAAGTGATATCTAATAGCGATGTGCCTGGTCTTGGATCGGCCGATGTAGCTCTTGGCGTGTGCTATAGCCGCTTGGTTATCGCACCACACCGGAGTTGGCTCAACCATATTATGTGGTATATCCAAATGGTTCAGGAACTCCCTGATCCATGTCACTTCCCTGACTGACGATGATAGGTAAATGTATTCCGCCTCCATTGTGCTGAGGGCGGTGACAGTTTGCTTTGAACTTCGCCATAGGATTGGAGCGCCTGCAAACATCACTACGTAACCCGATCTACTCTTTCTGTCTTCCAGGTTGGTTCCCCAATCAGCATCCGAATAGACACACAGTTGTTCCCCAGTCCGTCTATAGGTGATGCCTAGATCGCAGCAACCCAGTGTTTTCTAGTGTACTTTAAACAATAGCGAGCCAATTGACTTACTGTATAGGCAATGTCTGGCCTTGTCCGCTGTGAAAGGTAGAGCAGTCCACCAATTAGTTCACGGTAGGGAAGGTCTGGCAGTTTTCCTCATCTTCTTCCTCAAGAAGTTCTGGTCTGGTTTCCATCGGCGTTGAGACTTCAATTCCTTCCTGAAGCATGAACCGTTCCAGTATACATCTTATATAGACTCTTTGATTTAGAATAACGCATCCACCCTTTGATCGAGTGAAGTTGACACCAAGCAGGTAGGATACTGGTCCGATGTGCTTTGTTTCGAAGTGACCTCTCAGCATTTCAATGCACTTTTCTCTCACTTCTTGATTATCCGTCAGAGTAAGAATATCATCCACGTATAATGATAAGATTATCATTCCTTCGTTCAGCTTTAGCTAGTAGACACAAGAGTCGACTGGATTCCTCATAAATCCCTTTTTATTCAACCACTCATCAAGGCACTCGTGTAAACATCTGCCGCTTTGCTTCAGTCCGTACAGAGACCTTTTCAGTTGGCAGTAAAGATGTTCCTCACCAGGTTTAACAAAGCCTTCTGGTTGTTCCATGTAGATCACTCGGTCAAGCTTGCCGTAGAGATAAGCACTTTTCACGTCATATTGGTCTATGAACCAGTTACTTTCAACACCTATTGCTGTGAGCAGACTTGTCGTTTCAAAACGTTTCAGGATTCCACATTCTGTAGCCACGTCCTATGAGTGCATATCCAACAAAGTTACCTTTGACAGCTCTCCTTTGGAGTTTGGATTTACGAACTTGCCTTGGAATATGGACAAATATTTGACAGCCAATAGCTCTAATGTGTTTAAGGCTAGGCTTGTTCCCTGTCTACAGTTCATATGGCGTGCTTTCACCATTGTGATTGTTGAGAACTCTGTTCCTGACATAGGCTGCGGTGTAAGTCAGCTTCGCCCAGGAACCCTTCGGCAGACCACTTCTAGATATAGTGCTCCTGACAAGATCTAGGAGTGTCCTATTCCTTCTTTCTGCCACACCATTCTGTTGGGGTGTATACGTCATAGTGTGTTCATGAACTATTCCAACGCTCGTGCAGAAAGTGTCCCATTCTTTGGAACAAAATTCCAAGCCATTAACCGTACGTATTCGTTTTAGTTTCCGGCTGGTTTGTTTCTCAGATTCTTGAATCCACTCTTTGACTTTTCACAGGGTTCCGCCTTTGTTTTTTAGGAAAAATACACTTGCATATCTCGTAGATTCATCAACGATGGTTAAGACGTACTTGGCTCCTCCCCAGCTCAATACG